CTATCTATCTATCTATCTATCTATCTATCTATCTATCTATCTATCTAATCTTCTATCATATCTATCTAGCGTATCTATCATCTATCTACCATACCTACCTACCTACCTACCTATTTTTATGATTCTGCAATCTGCATAAGGAATCAGGGCTGAACCTTTACTGGCCGGATGCCCTTCCTGACACCTATGCAGAGTTCACAGCAGATATTTTCTCTTTGCGCCCTGATAAACATCGGTTGCTGCTAAGATTGAACTCTCAACCTCTTTGAGTGTGAGGTGAACATCTTTACTTCTAGGCCACCCCACCGCTTAGAACAGAAGATAACAGAACAATAAAATAAACAATGAAAAATTACACAACAAGAATACAACAACAGAATATCCAAAAAAGAAAGATGACAGAAAGAAGAAAACAGAGGGGGTGGAAATCTGCCATCAATCCAGCAGCCACTTCCAGTGTGGAATGGAAATACATTGTCTGAAAGAAGGCTGTATTTCATGGACAGCTGACCCCAAGTACTGTTGATGTACACTAGCAGGTCATGCAACATTAAGAGGCAAAGAATCTTGCAACTTCCTTCCATCTCGTGACTCCAAAACGGAATTTCTCAACAATTTGAACCATCTTAGTTGACAAAATAACAAGTTATGTCAAAAAATTTTGCTGCAGGTAAGGACAGTTTTCCCCCAAACCGTTCCAGAAGGCTAACAAAGGTGCTTCCTTTCCACACAAAAGCCATCACTTAAAAATAAAATAAAATGTAGCAGAGAAAAATCAACAATAATTTCTCTGCCGAGCCACTGGAGAGATGATTTGCCTCCTACTGCTGATAATCAGTGATGGCAAACTTACTAATTGGGATTGAATTTAATTTATTCTCTCATCTTCCAGTGTGGGTGCAGCCTTATCTATCTGAATCATGAGATTTTTTTTAAAAAGATGATCTCATCTTTATTCTGGCCAGCTCACTCTTTAAAGAAACATACATTAACAGCCTCTCCAAGCCGAGGCTTCCAGCTGTTTTTCACTGTAATTCCCTGGAATCTTAATCAGCAATAACTCTGAACTCTGGAAATTGTATTCAATATATCTAAAAAAGCAGCAAGGTAGAAAGATTACAGGACAAGAACAGGTGGGCAAAAAAAACCCCCATAATTTTAGAGTGGATGAAGGGTTTCATAACAGCGCATTTCGGTTTTGCAGAGACCCATATGAGCAAATCAATGTTCACAGTAGATAAAGCGACCTTGAACATATGTACCTTGCTTTTATTTAAACTTCCACATATTTTACAAGTCCGTAAATACCATTTCTGAAGAAATGCCTATAAAACAGATAACTTATCCCATGCACACACGTCAGTACAGGCAGATGCCACCAACCAAAGCTTAAAATGGTATTTGCGAGCCACCGCTGTCAAGAAAGACCCACCTCCAAATAGCAAAGGAGAAACACTGTTGATTATCTGAAACTAGTCCTTTTAAGCTATTATATGTAAAAGGTAGGCATAGACAGGCCAGCTCGTGTCTTTAGTTTTGCACTTGCAAAGTTGCTAAGACGTGAAAAGGAGATCTGCACTATTAAACCACATTGCTTATCCATGATTATCCAGGTTACGTTGATGTTTTTTCTGTAAGAAAGATTCAATGTATTTTTTCAGTTCAATAATATTGATCAACTGAAAAATGTACATTGAATCTTTCTTTCAGAAAAAAAAAACATCAACAAAGAACGACTGTTCAAAGTTAACAGCAGCACTGGGAAAAGGGGCTTATGACCGTTTTTCACGCTTTACGACCGCTGCAGCATCCCCATGGTGAAAAAATTCAGCCGCTTAGCAACTGATGCATACTTATGATGGTTGCAGGGTCCAGAAATGGAGCAAACTCACTTAACCGTCTCACTCAACCACATACATTTTGGGCTCAATGGTGGTCGTAGGTTGTGGGCTTACCCACCACCTCAGTTTCTCTAGAGTGGTCTATAAATATAGGGCTGTGATCTCACTTCCACACCAAGGATTAAATTAGCCGAAACTCACTGACATCATCTAAATATCATCAGATACGACCTGAGCGGTGAAATGGGTAGGAGGTATGAAGAAAACCAACGGGTGCCTGAAAAAGGGAAACCAAGCGCAACTTTCCGACAACAAGAAGTAACCGCTTCTGAGATCTGAGAGCATAACAAGGCCCTTGAAGTTAGAAGGGGGCAGCAAAGTCGCATGTGGGATTTTTACTTCTATAAATGTTGGGGTTCTTCTGCCTTTGCCTTGTTGAAGTGCCTCTTGTGATTGGCTCTGCCTCACTCTGTCGTAGGATACACAAACCTGTGGGAGGTTTATTTATAAACAAAGTTCCACACCCATCATCGATTGCTGCCTTCTTCTCTTTGCTCCCCGTCGCCTCGCCCAGTAACCATTTCCAGACCCAAAGCAGGGACCCCTCCAACTAGACACAAGGGAAAGGAGACCCCGTGGTACGGAAAGGTTTCACTAAACAAATATCCCACGCTTTATCTGCTGCCCATCTCAACAAGAGGCTCCAGAGTGGTGGACGGTATCGAATGAAAGTAAAACAGTTACGGGATTGGGGTATGGAGAGCCTGCAGCACTTAAGAAAACCCTCATTCGTATACCTGCCTTCCTAACCAGGGTGTTACAGGTATATCCATCGCGAAGGATCATTTCTACAGGGAAAACAGGAGGCAGGAGTATTTGATTTGATAATTAGGTAGGTAGGTAGGTAGGTAGGTAGGGAGAGAGAGATAGATAGATAGATAGATAGATAGATAGATAGATAGATAGACAGACAGACAGACAGACAGATATAGATATGATAGGTAGGGTGGGATAAAACAATGCATTAATGCATTCTTCTAATGCATTAATGCATGGGATAAAATAATGCATTAGCCTGGTTCCCAGTAGACTAGAACTCACAATCTCTTGGTTTCTAGCCAAGTGCCTTCACCACTACTCCTAGTTGGTGGCAGAGGAGGTTCTACAATAGGTTGCCTGGGGACCTAGAGAAGAAGGCAGGGATGCCAACTAATGAATGCCAGCAGACTAGAAAGTGGGTGATCGTGAGTTCTAGTCCCACCTTAAGTTGGGAAAGCCGGTTGGGTGACTTTGGACCAATCGCTAGGAGATGGTGAGTTCTAGTCTTACCTTAGGGAGGAAAACCAGCGGGTTGACTTTAGCCAATCAGTAGGAGACAGGGAGTTCTAGTCCCGCCTTAGCCATGAAGACCAGCTGGGTGACTTTGGGCCAATCACCAGGCGACGGGGAGTTCTAGTCC